ACCCCCGGACCCAGCACCCCCAGGCTCCGCACGCTCAGGCTCAGCACCCCCAGACGCACCAGAGTCAGCAGCTACCTCGACAGGCTCGACTGCATCTACCTGGGACACACCTGAGGGGGTAGGACCCTGAGGGGGGAGGGGGTCTACCTGGGGGGGACCTGGAGCGAGGAAGAGCGGCGGGGGGGGGGAGGGGGGCAGTGCGGTAGGGGAAGAGACGGTAGTACGGAACCGGCTCGTCAAACGTGACGTCCTGGGAGGACAGAACACGACGCGAGGTGGGGTGGTAAAACTGCCAACCAGGCGCGTCAGGGGGAAAGCCGAGGAAGACGCAAGGAACAGCACGGGAGGACAGCTTGTCCGCAGACAAGTCTCGGACGAAAGCTCGAGATCCCCAAACACGGAACGCAGACGCATCACCAACCTTCCCCGTCCACCGCAGAGTAGGGGAGGTCTCCGGCAGGGAGACCCGGGGCTGAAGGTTGATCTGATGCGCCGCGTACTGAACCGCGAATGGCCACAGAAAATGGGGAGCAGCCGCATGGATCATGGACGCACGAGCGACATCCATGACCATGCCAATGCGGCGCTCAGCAATCCCATTTTGCTGTGGAGAGGCCGGAAGCGTGAACGTCTGGCGGATGCCCTCCGCACGACAGAAGGCTCGCAGAAGGTCGGAGGAAAACTCTCCGCCTCTGTCGGAGTGCAGACGCAGAACAGGAAAGTCCGAGCCGAAACGCTCTCTGAGCTGGAGACGAGCAACGCGGATCCAGTCGATCAACACCTCAGTGACTTCACCCTTGCTGCGCAAGGGGAAGACTGTGGTGTAACGCGAGTAGTCGTCAACCACCAGCAGGAAGTAACGCTCGTGACCCTGTCCACGGACGCGGGCTGGGCCCCACACGTCCATGTGAAGAGTCTGCAGCGGAGCCTCTGTCGGGGGAAACTCGGAGGAGTGAGGAGCGGCGCGCTGCCGCCCCTCGACGCAGGGAACGCAGGTAGGGGCAGGCCCCGGGGGAAGGGGAGGGAGGGACCGGGGGAGACCAGAGACAAGGACACGCGAGGCCATGCCTCGGAGACGAGGCAAGGAGGGGTGACCAAGGCGGTGGTGCCAGAGGAGGGTCTGGTGGGACAGGAGGCGACACGAGCAGGGGGCAGACTCAGGACCTGACCGAGACGCTGCAGTAAACACCTGACTCGACGCAGCTACCTGACCAGACGCAGCAACCGGGGGAGACTCTGTGGTCAGTGTGTACAGGCTCGACCCCGGTCGACGGGTAAACGTGGCCAAGTGGCGGCCCGTCTGAGCACACGAGCAGTGGGTCACTCGCTGACTCGCAGGAGTGAACTGGTCAACCCCTGCATCCTGAAGGTCAGCACCACTCACCAAGTTCGTAGAGAACGAGGGGAGGTAGAGACCAGACAGGGAGCGGGAGGCACCCGAGTCGAGGGTGAAGGTGTGCAAGACCTGAGCCGACGCGGTACCTGAGAGAGCAGACTCACCAGCACCTAGAGCAGCAGACTCACTAGCACCTGGAGCAGCAGACTCACGAGCACCTAGAGCAGCAGCCTCAATACCAGGGTCAGGCGGAACACACACGTAACAGTCACCCTCAGCACTAATAGACACAGCATACATGGCAGCAAGAATAGCATCAAAGTCAAGATCAAAGATAGCTACACCCGACTTGAGCAGATCACCCCAACGAGGGATCTCAGTGGCGTCCGGGAACTGGGCACGCCAGGCGTCAGTCAGGCGACCGAAGCAGCGCTGGGTGGCGTGCAGGCCGCCACACTGCTCTCCAGTGCGGTCGCTGGTGCGCAGGACGTAAGTACAGGGACCAGCACCCCCAGACCCCTGGCGCCCCGCGTACCACTCACGAAGCTGCTGGGGCGACGGGGTCTGACGAGAGCGGTGCTGCTGCTAGGGTCCCCGCTGCACAGCCCCGCCTCTGCCAGCTCCACCTCCGCCGCCGCCGCCTCCGCCTCCTCCACCCCTCCCGCCATCGCCACCGCCGCCTCCACCTCCACCGCTGCCACCGAAGCCCCCACCTCAGCCACCACTCCCACCCCAACCCCCTCCTCCGCCTCCACCGCCACTACCGCCGCCCCCACCACCTCCTCCAGCGCCCTTGCCCCGCTTGCCCTTGCTGGTGCGGCGCCTCTCACTAGGAGCAGACGCTGCGCTGACCGACTCGGTGCCAACAAGGTCGACAGCAGCAGCAGAGGCAACGGAGGGCAAAAGAGGAACGGGGGAGCACCCCTCAAAGAAAGGGGTACGGGGGTCACCACGAGAGGCTCCTACAGCGGTAATACTAGTCTCTGCTGCAAGGAGGCGCTCCTCGAGGAGGTCGACAGTGAGGGTGGTAGGGCAAAGAGAGAGGAAGTGGTCCCTGACCGAGCGAAGAGTGTCAGGGAATCGGGTGACTAGGTAGTAGAGGGTGATGTACATGGGGGGGGGGGTTCTTTGCGCAGAACTCAGCAGGAAGTGATAAGAAGACTAGGACTAGCCATGATAGGAGCAGCAGCAGACTAGCAGTGGCAGCAGTGCAAGTGAGCTAGGCAGGACAGCGCGACTCGGCCGGGCGGCTCGGCAAAGCAGTGCGGCTCGTGAAAGCAGGGCGGCTCGGCCTTGCTACGCTCTTACCAGGGGCAGAGTCGAGGGAGGGCCGGGGCAGGGCTGCGACAGGTCCGGGACTGGGTAGGGGCCGTGACAGGGCCGGGACAGGGTCGGGGCCGAGCAGGGTCCGGGACGGGGCAGCAACGGGGCCGGGACAGGGTCGGGGCCGTGTAGGGGCCGTCCGAGCTGCAGAAGAGACACACGTGCACAGATCTGGGTGAACTGCGCAGCTACCTTGGCTTGCAGATCACCCGGGACAGAGCACGCCGCACCATTACCCTGACTCAGTCACACATGGTGCAGCAGGTCCTTCAGCGCTTCGGCTTCACGTACTCCTCGCCTCAGGCCACTCCTCTGCCTACTCGCCACTCGCTCTCAGCTCTGCCTTCGGATGAGTCCGTAGAGTCGAGTGGCCCGTACCCAGAGCTTGTTGGCTGCCTCATGTACCTGATGACCTGCACACGACCTGACCTTGCATACCCTCTTAGCATTCTTGCACGCTATGTTGCTCCTGGGAGACACAGACCGGAGCACATGGCTGCAGCGAAGAGGGTGTTGCGCTACTTGTGCAGTACGTCGGGCATGGGGCTTGTGCTTGGAGGGCAGAGTCCAGTGGTCCTCACTGGGCACGCAGACGCTTCTTGGGCTGACGACCAGGCTACGCAGCGGTCGTCACAGGGTTACACCTTCAGCCTTGGTTCCGGCTCTGTTTCGTGGCGGGCTACCCGCTCGTCTTCTGTTCTCGGCTCCAGTTGTGAGGCTGAGATCTACGCCGGTGCCATGGCTGCACAGGAGCTTCGCTGGCTCACCTACCTGCTGACTGACCTCGGAGAGCCGCCTCGTTCTCCTCCAGTGCTGTACGTAGACAACAAGGCCATGCTGGCCTTGTGTCGAGAGCAGAGACTGGAGCACAGAACGAAGCACATTGCTCTCCGCTACTTCCTTGCTCGTGAGCTACAGCAGCGTGGTCAGCTGCGGCTTGCGTACGTGGCCTCTGAGGCCAACACTGCTGATATCTTCACCAAGGCACTCCCGCCTTGTGATCATCAGCGCTTCTGTACTCAGCTAGGTCTTGTGCCTACCTTGCCTCACTTGCTCACCCCTTGACCTTGTTTGTACTGTTGCATATATATATACACCTGCTCTTGCTTGTCTAGCCTTATATATATATGCAATCCTGCATGTGAACTGGCCTTGTGGCCTTGAACTTGTGCTCGGAATGTGTGGTGACTTTGTGATCCACCCTGAGCTTGCTTTGCTTTGCTTGACTGGTCTTGTGACCCCTTGTTCTCCCCCACTTTGCCTATGGGGGTGTGTCAGATTTATATGACATAGCTACTGTAGGCTATAGTGGGGTAGCACATATGGGGTACAGTTTTCTAGGGTTTGCTTTTGTACCCAACTTTCCCCTAGTCAATTCATTCCTCGTTATTTCTCAACAAGACAACACAAAAGAATGCAGCTGGCAAGCTGCTTTTTCTTGTAAGAAATGAACTCCAAGCTACAAGCGTTAAGGAACATCTACAGAGCGTGGCAGCAGCAAAGCAGTTGGAGGCGGCGGCTGAGTGGTTGAAGGCGATGGCAAAGCGGTTGGAGGCAGCAGCAGAGCGGTTGGAGGTCAGCAAATCGGTTGGCGGAAAAAAGTGGTTGGAGGCGGCAGCTGAGTGGTCGGAGGCGGCAGCAGAGCGGTCGGAGGCGGCAGCAGAGCGGTCGGAGGCGGCAGCAGAGCGGTCGGAGGCAGCAGCAGAGCGGTCGGAGGCGGCAGCAGAGCGGTCGGAGGCAGCAGCAGAGCGGTCGGAGGCGGCAGCAGAGCGGTCGGAGGCGGCAGCAGAGCGGTCGGAGGCGGCAGCAGAGCGGTCGGAGGCGGCAGCAGAGCGGTCGGAGGCGGCAGCAGAGCGGTCGGAGGCGGCAGCAGAGCGGTCGGAGGCGGCAGCAGAGCGGTCGGAGGCGGCAGCAGAGCGGTCGGAGGCGGCAGCAGAGCGGTCGGAGGCGGCAGCAGAGCGGTCGGAGGCGGCAGCAGAGCGGTCGGAGGCGGCAGCAGAGCGGTCGGAGGCGGCAGCAGAGCGGTCGGAGGCGGCAGCAGAGCGGTCGAGGCGGCAGCAGAGCGGTCGGAGGCGGCAGCAGAGCGGTCGGAGGCGGCAGCAGAGCGGTCGGAGGCGGCAGCAGAGCGGTCGGAGGCGGCAGCAGAGCGGTCGGAGGCGGCAGCAGAGCGGTCGGAGGCGGCAGCAGAGCGGTCGGAGGCGGCAGCAGAGCGGTCGGAGGCGGCAGAAGAGCGGTCGGAGGCGGCAGCAGAGCGGTTGGAGGTGGCAGCAGAGCTGTTGGAGGCGGCAGCGGAGCTGTAGCAGCAGCAGAGGAGACTAATAATTACTTAACAAATCCAAATTTAGGAGAGGTGCACCTGCCCCCTGTTGAGGTCTCCACTAGCCTCTTAGACCATCCAGCACGGGGAAACTGCATGGTAGGAGCACTAAGAGAGGGGTTGGAAGCAGCAGCAGCACCATTGGATACTGTCAGCAAGAGCCAAATTTGGGGGAATTGCAGCTGCCTCCCGTAGAAGTCTCCACTAGTCGCTTGGACCATCCAGCACGGGGAAGCAGCGTGGTCGGTGCACTAGCCGACACCGTCGCCCCTTGCTCACCGGAGTACCGGCCCAGGTTCGGATACTACCGAGCCTGAAACATTCCCGGGCCAGCCTGCAGCGATTGATGCTGCTGCTGCAGGATCTGCTGTTGCTGGTGCTGATGTGGCAGCTGCTGATTCCCTGGCAGGGAGAAAGGCATGCCGAGAGAGTGCTGCTGCTGCAGGGCTTGGGCTAGTAGTGCTGAGTCAGCGCCGAGGATCGATGGTGGTGTACCACCAAGCTGGGGGCGGGCTGTATCCTTGAGGAGGAGAGAGACTTGCAGGGCTGTCACTTGTTGCTGCAAGATGGAATGAGAATAGAGCGGATGGTTAACAGAAGGGTTTAGAGTGGTTTCAGAAAGCCGAGGAGCAGGACACTACAAGAACATGCACAACAGTGTCTCCAGCTTGTTAAGAAGCAACAGGAAAGTGCAACAGAAGCAGGGGAGAGCTGTCCAGTTCGCTAACCAACTGGGCTAAAAGGGCATGTTTCCTTGGTGGGTCAGCGCACCCATACCCCCCCAGGACAACACCTGTAGCCCTTGGGGAGACCACTTCGGGCCATTCCAGTGTCCACTTCCAACACTCCCCTCACTGGGAGGGCCCACCACTAGGGCACAGGAAGTCGCCAACAGCAGGAATCGAACCCCGGTCCTCCACGCTCACCGCACCATGTCCAGTTCGCTAACCAACTGGGCTAAAAGGGCATGTTTCCTTGGTGGGTCAGCGCACCCATACCCCCCCAGGACAACACCTGTAGCCCTTGGGGAGACCACTTCGGGCCATTCCAGTGTCCACTTCCAACACTCCCCTCACTGGGAGGGCCCACCACTAGGGCACAGGAAGTCGCCAACAGCAGGAATTGAACCCCGGTCCTCCACGCTCACCGCACCATGTCCAGTTCGCTAACCAACTGGGCTAAAAGGGCATGTTTCCTTGGTGGGTCAGCGCACCCATACCCCCCCAGGACAACACCTGTAGCCCTTGGGGAGACCACTTCGGGCCATTCCAGTGTCCACTTCCAACAAGAGCAACAGCAAGTGAAGGCAAGCAACCATGAAAGTAACGGTAAAAGAGTGTGAATTTACCTTGAGCCCTTCCACATAAGCCACTGCCTCGTCCAACATGGTAGCAGTGTCACCCGTGCCCTTCACCGAGTCCCGCAGCCGCTTCAGCCCATCGCTGATACGCTTGCGTCGTTGGCTCTCCACATGGCTTTTCATCTTGATCTGCCGCTTCTCCGCCTTCACGCCAAGCCCGGAATCCCCCGCGCTGCCGCCCACCCGCCGAGAGTTGCCGCCCGACGCATGATCTTCACCAAACTAGTCCATATGATATCCTCCCTCCATCTCATCCGAGCTCTCACCGTCGCTCCCGTGCCTGTCACCGAGCCTGTCGCCGCTCTCCCTGCCGTGCGCGCCGGCTTCTCCCGAACCTGTAGCCTGCACCACCGCCCCGCCCGCCTCGCCACCGCTCGCAGCGTCGCCCTGCCGCCCGCTCTGCCGAACCGGAGAATCCTCGCCGGCCGAGGCTCGTGCCGCCCGGTCGCCGCTGTTGGACCCACTCCGCCGGCTCCCACCTGCGCCGACAGCGCCGGCAGTGGCTGTAGCGGCTGTAGCAGGGCCGGCTGTGACTCCTAGCTTGGAGGGTCCGAGACTGGACGCAGCAGCAGCAGCAGGGGGGCTGCCAAAGAGCCTCTGGGCCGGCTGACCCGCAAAAAAAGGCGGTGAGGGCAGGGTCGGCGTGGTGGTGGTACTGCCAGGCAGGGACCCGGCCCGGCGTGGTTGGGGTGAGAAGGACTCCCACCCATCCTCCATTTCGTTCTTGAGTTTCTCGCCTCCGCCGCCACCACCGCCGCCGCCGACGCAGCCGCTTTCGGAGAAGGCGCTCTCGCCAAAGTTGCTGCTGGAGATGACGTCAGCAGAGGAGTTAAACGCGGAGGTGTTTCCGGTGGCTACTAGCCCCCCAATGTGGCGCGCCGCGAGCGAGTGAGCGTCGAATGCGGCTCCGCCAGCGCCGGCGCGGAGGGGGAAGGCGGCGGTGCCGAACGGCGTGGTTCCGTTGCTTTGCAGTGGCGGGGCGTTCTGCATAGGCTGTTGCGCCGTGATTTGCGGCGTTCCGGCCGCCGCTAGCGCCATGATGTCGGTCTCGAGACTTCTGTACGGCGCAGCGCCGCCGTTCGCTGCTGATTGAAACACGCGGATGAGGGGGGGGGAGAAAGAAATTCAAAGAGATTCAGAGGGAGCACGGCGTGCTCAACCCTTTCTAAGTTCGAAGTTATAACCCTAATCAGGCTTCGGACATTTACCTGGCAACGACGCGACTTGAGGGTTTCCATTGTTGTTGTTGGACCTCAGTTTCTCCAAAAAGGAAGAAAGCTCTTCCGTGCTGCAATTCTCAAGAAAGTTTTCCCATTCGGAATCCACGACGAGCGGCGGAGCAGAAGCCATGATCTGATAGCAGATGATCGAGTCGCAGTTGAGCCGAACCTTTTCGGGATGGGGTCACGGAAGATAGAAATCTGATAACGCGACCAACTTTCAGTGACTTAGTCCAAGGGTACTTCAAGGAATGGCAGTCTGTGAGGTTCTCGTCTCGTCTCGAAATGCAAGCTAGATTGTAGTATGGCAATGTGTTGAAGTGAGGGCCAGACTGGTGGTATTATAAACTCGGTTGGAGCAGGTGAGATGCAGCCATGGGTGAACAGAAGAGCATGAGGTGGGGTTGGTTTAGCTTGCGGTGATGCTCATGATGAGTGAGGTGGTGAGCATTCAAGCAATCCTGCTCCGTGCGTGGTTCAGATTGGTCTGGGCTTGGCTCGGTTAATACTCAGATCAGCTTTGCTTGCAGCTTCTGGTTCGGAGGAGGGTGACAGGTGTTCCTGTCCTGAGTTTTTGCCCGTACAGTGCAAGGACACTGTGAGTTTCTAACTCTTTTCCAGTACGTTGGTCTAGTGTTTAGAGAGCCTTCGGCTATTTGAAAGGCTTGGCGAACCATACCCATCTGAAAGATATTCTCTAAAAATGAATGACGAGGTGTACGAAGTACCTTTCTCACATTCTGTCGTGTTCCTTGGATACGGTGATGAAGTGCGCCATAGCGTGAAAACCTCCACATTTCACATTGCAGATTCCAAAACAGCCCGCAAGCATCAAATCATTTCTGTGAACAACTGCACGAGGTAACACACCCACGTTTGCTGCCAGCACTCCACAAAGAGATATCTGCTTTTGCCAGGCTCGAATTCCTCTTCCCAACCGAGATGAGGTCTCCACCAGCTAGCTGTCGTGCTTTGGCAAACGCGTTGGGCAGTTGACAGGGTGGCCAATCAGAGACCTACAGTTCTCTCAGGGCTGTCGAAGTTACAGCGAAGTTACAGTGCCTACGGTCCGAAGCAGGGCTGTCGAAGTCCCTGGGACCAAAACTTTGAGTCCTGAGGTGCTCAAATTCTGGCCCTGATTTTCACGGGCGCAGGCCAAAATCAAGGCTTAAAATCTGGGCTTCTAAGGAAAGTCACTTTCCCTAATGTCCAAAGGAGGACGCACCTTCTACTTAGCAGAAGGAGGGTGCATACTCGGTGCTCAACAATCTTACAGCCTCTACATCGTAGGCAAAAAAAATGGGAGGGAAGGGGTTCGTAGGCCAAGTCATGGAGGGGGTGGGGGGGGGGGCAGCGGCGGGATGGGGGGTGGGGGGGTGGCTCAACACAGAAACCAAAACTTGGATTCAGGGGAAGGCCCAAACAAGGACCTTAACTGTCACGGGGGCCATGCTATTCTAGCACTTCAAACGGTCGAGCTGCTCCAAGCGTATTCCAGAATGTTCAGGGCATTAATTCCAAATGTCCTTGCTTCTCCAGCCCTGGTCCGAAGTGCCATATTTGGTTCTATCACTGGACTTGGCCAGACTGACGGGGCATGGGCAAAGAGACCTGCGGAGAACATTGTACCGCATTGTAGGGTATCAATTTTCGAGCAGTTTCTGGACAGTTTTAGATATACCGTGCTGGATTTGGGTTACTGACCCGCCTGCCGTGCTCGTTAAAATGTTACCCGGCCAAATGAAAGGGTAGCCCCAAACGAATTGGGATAACTGACAGGGAGTGCTTGCTGACATCCTATTCCAACTTTTCTGTCATTCAGCCGAGGGTCCACTTCTGGATAATAATCATGAATTCACAACTCATGGCGTGACTAAAAGGTATTTTCTCGCGGTGGCAACCGTCATTTCGTCTGTTGTCATGGTGCAAGGAATCACCCACATTGGTGCACATTGCACAACCGTCTCGCAAAACTCCATGACTGGGAGAGGGAAGAAAAGGGATGGGTGGGAGGGAGCACTCACTCCAGAAGTGCTTTGCCTCTCAATCCCCGCTGCCCAGACTACGCTACGCTGAATGATACTTCACTGTATCCACTTCCCTCAATGATGCTGCGTCGCGCCTTCGGGCCTTTAATACATAAATGAAGCATCACGCTGCAACCAAATCATATGTTGGAATAGATAACGAATAGTACTGTGCTAAACTGCATCAAGCATTACTCCATGTTGTCTCAGAAACAGCTGTTTTTGTTCAGACAACTCAATGAAGTAGCAGCATGAATGGACTTGTTAGAAATAGTTGCGTTTAGCTCCTGTGAAAGTAACGAATAATTCTGATCCTTTTTCATGTGAATCCCTAATGAGCATAAACAAATTTCCCCTTCAATTATATCGAATTAGATTAGATGAATTTTTTCCCTCGTGTTCATTCATGATAGAATCAGACCTAGAATCAAGGAAATATGGTTGAATATAATGAAAACCAAAAAAAAATCATAAACATCTATAATAAGCCAAATGATTTTCCATGAGATGTTAGAGCTGATTCCTTTTTTAATATAAATCACTGTGGTGATACAAAGTATTAGAAAGCATGATTCATATTGCAAATCTTCATATTTTGTATGAACTCTAGTTTTGTATGATTGTACCATTTTTTTCCCGCAGCAGTTCATGTTTTTGGGACTTCACAATGTCTGGCATGATAGGGTCTGCTGGCAACTGTGCGATGAAAGTATACATTCGTAAAGGCGATCAAACCTCTTGACGGATATCGTGTAGCATTGATTAGGGATGATGACCAAGAAATCCAAAATTCAATATCCAATCATGCATAGAATCCAAGTCCACAACGGGACTCCTTTGATTTGTTTCTGTGCTCCACGATGCCAGAACCTCGCGTGTCAAACCATGATTCAATTCCGACGATTGAACGTTCCTGCATCAACCATCAACCTCAAGTCGAACATCCGAGCCGCGTTTTTCTTGATCACGGTGGAAAAACTGTTCAAGCCCACATGGGATTGCAAGAGGGACGGCCATGCAATTGAAAAAGGACAGCGTGGGAGGATCAGGGGTGGTGGTGGGGAGGAAACACACGTCCGTGTAGTATATGTACAAATGTTCTCGTTTATAGTCCGACGGAATGAGACGCCGCGCGCTGCCTATGTGCGAAACCCTTCAAACCCCGGGCAAAACTCGATACTTTTAGTCCCGTGCAAGAAAATTGCATGAAGAGTGGTTTGTTTGCTACTAGTTTTTGTTTTGTCTTTTACGTAGATTCGGGCCACGCTTGCTTCAACTTCTCGTTGCACGGTTCCCCGCGCTGATCAATGTCCACATGACTAACGGGCAAAACAAAACAAAATCAATTATGGTTTGGGGGTCGAATAAAATGTAAAAACTACAATTTTACCCTGTAAGCGAGATAAATGAGATGTCATCGTCGAGCGCGCTGGAGACCGCGCGACGGGATTGAAAAGTAATCACAGTCGAGAGAAACAATTACTTACAATTTCAAAGTTAAATATCGAATCGATGATCCCCTATTTATCGTTCTCCCTTAATGTTGGGCTGGTTCGATCTGGAGCCTCTGATTGGCTGCGGAGCTGATTCGTGCAATGATTCGGTCAAGCTGCAAAATTTCCCGCCAAAAACGGGACTATAGGGGTCGGGCCAATCCTAGGCGATATCGGGAAACTCTGTCAGAATCCCAACCACTAGACCATTGGGATAAAAGGGCTTGTTAAGTAGCGGGTCAGTGCGCCCATAACCCCCCAGGCCAACGTGCCTGTAACCCTTCCCTAGGATCAATCGGGGATCACCAGTGGACCTCTGACACCCCCCCGCACTGGGATGCCCAAAGTGCATACACCGGGATTCGAACCCGAGACCTTCGCTCTGATACCATGTCAGAATCCCAACCACTAGACCATTGGGATAAAAGGGCTTGTTAAGTAGCGGGTCAGTGCGCCCATAACCCCCCAGGCCAACGTGCCTGTAACCCTTCCCTAGGATCAATCGGGGATCACCAGTGGACCTCTGACAAACTCTACTCAAGAGGGAAAATATACTCTTTTAGCGAGAGCCTCTAACCCGAAACATTTGTACAAATGGGTGCATTAATAATGTCATAGATTCATCTAAGCAAGCCACTAGAACGAAGGCCTAGGTTTCTCAACCGTCCGGACCAAGGTAGGTTTCCCACTCCCACATCCAGCACCAACTCTAAGCCCTTGATCCCAATCACGTGGATGTCGTCATCAAGGCAGACCTGTGACGAGAACTTTTAGAAAGCCGCGGTGAAGTGCCTTGTGCCAGCTGTGTTTTCGATTGGATCGCGAGAGAAAAGGGTAGTGTCGCGCTGAAGCGAAAGTAAACAAGCTGGACGCGACTGTCGCGAATTTCGGAAATGTGGAGGGGGGAACACACATGGCTATGCGGAATCACACCACCCCCACCCCATCCCCTTTTCCCGCTCTCTCCAGCCAATATCGCCCCACTCGCTGTAGGCACCACTTCGGAGCTGATTACAGTCGAATATCCAAATTCTTCTGCCTACAAACAAGCAAGAACATTTGCCACTCTATCTTGAATAAGAATTATACGCTTTCAAATATCGCACCAAGGGCTATATGAAAGCATAGTCTTTCGTAGAATATTAGCCAGATAATATAATGTATTAAGCATCAGCTTCATAATCCAGGAAAAACGCCTTATTGCACTCATACGATTCATTCTTGGTGCAGCTGTCCGGTAGGAAGAGAGAGGGAAATGAACGGAAGGACATGGGGGAGAATCTGCAGGATAAAATGGACAACGTAAAATGGAGAGATCGACGAAAAGGAAGAGGGGGGAGGACAAGGGGAAAGGGAGGGAAAGGCGAGGGACAAGGGTTGGACAGGCAAGGCAAACGAGAAGGGGGGACGAAGGGTAAAGGAAGGTAGGGCAAGGGGGTGACAGAGGGGAGGACCAAGGGGGGTGGAGGGATGGGAAAGGGGAAAGGGAGGGAAGGGCAAGGGGAAAGAGAGGGAAGGGCAAAGGTGGGATGGAGGGAAGGACAAGGGGAAAGGGAGGGAAGAGCAAAGATGGGATGGATGGAAGGACAAGGGGAAAGGGAGGGAAGGGCGATGGTGGGATGGAGGGAAGGTCAAGGCGAAAGGGAGGGAAGGGTAAAGGCAGGATGGAGGGAAGGACAAGGAGAAAGGGAGGGAAGAGCAACGGGGGGATGAAGGGATTGGCAAAGGGGGGGATAGAGGGAAGGACACGGGAAAGGGGAGGGAAAGGCAAAGGGAGGATGGAGGGAATGACAAGTGGAAATGGATGGAAGTGCTAAGGGGGGATGGAGGAAAATACATGGGAAAAAAGAAGGAAAGGCAAGGGGAAAGCGAAAGACAGGAGGGGTGAAAATTGGCCATGATCCAAGAGGGGAAGCAGTGGGTTCGGAGAGAAGCAGTGGGTTGAAAGAGGAGAATCAGTGGGTTGTGAAAGGGGAAGTAGGGATGAAAGCAAGGAAACGACGGGGGTGAATCGAAGTGCAATAGCGAGGTGGAAGAAGGGGATCATCCGAGGGACGACTGATTAGGGGGACGAACGGACGATAGTGGGGGGGTTGGAAGGGCCGGGAGAGGGGCAACGCATGGGGCGATAGCAGGGGAACAACAGGCCCGTTCCGAAGCTCACTGTCTGTCCTCTCCTATCTCCGTCCGACAGCAGGGGGTTATCTCGGAAGCCGCCCTATGCGCCGCCCTCCTCGTCGAACAGAGAGACATGGACCAGCAGCGACCAGCGCCGCGACGAGACCGGGAACGCCTCTCCTTCTACGCAGACAACACAGAAGAACGACGGCCGCGGCACCTTTACTGCAAAATCTGCAGAAATTCGGACACTTGGCAGATCGATGAAAATTCCGATCTCACCCTCACCAGACCAATCCGAGAACCTCATCTGGCCGACAAGACGCACAGAACGACACGCGTCAAGCCCAGGGGTACCAACCCCCATCGCGCAACCTGAACCCAGCGGTTCAGCATCAGCAGCAGCATCCATCACAGCCTGCTCCCGCCCGCAACGTCATCGGCAATATGACCATAACAGAAATGAGCGGATCGCGTCGTTGCCGCGTGTGTACGCCATCACTAGAGCTAGCACGCCACCCAATCGGAGCGTTCACGGATAACAATCCGTTCACTACTTGCCACGATTTTTGCAACGACGACAATCAGGACTGGAATCTTCCAGTCTCACATACCTGATTCGCGGGTGGCACCGATCGATAGGATCTCGCGCGAGGAATTTCTGAAGTTCGACACACCACATATCGTCACGCCGCGATTGGCGCTGTTCGTACGTGACGACAACAATCGCTACAACACCTTGGACAGATGTTGCGGGTAGCACATGGTCGGATATGTGCATTTCGTCTCCATGGTCGTCTCGACCCCAACGGTCACTTACGTCACCGTGGCCAACAATACCTGCCTGCGCGCAAGGAATCATCGTGCTCAAGGCACTGGGAAGCCGCACGCACATCACGCTTAATGATATCCTCATAGTCAAGAACACGCGCTTCAACCTTCTATCCGTCGCTCAACTCATGGATTGCGGCGTCAAATTGAGCACGGATCCGCGCACGAGCGATATATTTCTCCACTACCCGTCGCCGACAAAAACGCACAGGCAGATCGGACGAGCACACTCCGAGAATGGAGTGTATATTCTCGACTTTGACAATCCCGACTGCAGCGGCGACTCAAAAGAGCTAATCGATCTCGTTCCACTGCGCTTCGAGCACATCCACCGTTCGGACTTGAAACACCCTGACGGAAGACCGTGGGTGCCACATCACCCGCACCCACGTGAGCTGGCGCTGCATGACCCTGATCTAGACGACATCTGCAGGGACTGTCACACGCCCACCGCCTCAACAAACGCAATCGCCGGCTGCGGCCTCGCCGCCATCGCCGAAGCTGAGCGACACACGCCAGCTAAAGAAGGAATGTCTGCCCTCGAGCTCGAAGTGGTAACAGATAGAGTCTTCGGCCCGCCGAATCCGGAGCCAGGACAAACAGTGCTCGGCACACTAGCTAAGCGGTTCGAGGGCATCCTACGGGGACGACGCCGCGGCACCTTCGACAACCGCGGAGTGGCGCGCCCCTATACGAAGGAGGAGTTCCTGAATGTTTACCCCCACTGGCACGACCCCACGAAGAAACTTACCATGGAACAGGAAGGAGCGTTGGCGCGCCGCGAAGCTGAGGAGCTTCGCCGAAAGAGCATCGGTGAGGCACACCGGCGGATGGGGAAACACCGGCGGCACCTGGGCTAACGCTAGTGGCGGTTTGGGCGCCACATATGGCAGCGAAGGCAGCGGATGGGGCACTTCTGGTGGCAGCTGAGGAACATCCCGAGAAGACCAAAGGAGGGAAGGAGAAACAGCACCTCGTGTTGTTCCCCTCGGCCGTCCCCGGCGCCTCCCCGCACCCGCGCTACCTCCTCCTTAACGTTTAGCCGCACTGCGATCCATGGGACACCATCGATTGGGGGAACGAACCATCAACCCCATGTCGCACATTTTACGAACCCGATCCCGAGCCATGCGTACCCACCTTCTTCCCCGGAACAATTCCTGGAACCAACATTCCCCTGTCTGTGATTGTCGACAGAGAATTCTTAGCGCTGATGCTTACGACGGTGAACGGCGAAGAAGAATCTGAAGAAGCATCAGCAGAACCTACCCCCGTACCTGACGAGGACCCCGAAGCAGCGCACGCATGCTACATGCGCACCTCTGGATTCCGCGCCAACAATGACCTTTGGCACCAACGCCTCGGTCACCCCTCGTGCGTAACACTGAAGAATTGCATCGAGGCTGGGGTGTTCGCGCTTGGCGCACTCCTGTGCCCCAATAGCACTGAAGTGAGAAGCACAGCACAGCCGCGCAACTGCACCGTCTGCCCTGAAGCTGCGCTGAGCCATCAACCGTTCCCCCTGCTGGATCCTGGAACTAATCGCTACCCCAAACTGCATAAGGTGTACAGCGATTTCCTCGTCGTGGGTTACTGCAGAACTAATGACGAGTAGTACACCCTTACCTTGTCAGAGGTCCACTGGTGATCCCCGATTGATCCTAGGGAAGGATTACAGGCTCGTTGTCCTGGGGGGTTATGGGCGCACTGACCCGCTACTTAACAAACCCTTTTATCCCAATGGTCTAGTGGTTGAGATTCTGACATGGTATCAGAGCGGTCTCGGGTTCGAATCCCAGTGTGTGCACTTCGGGCATCCCAGTGCGGGGGGGTGTCAGAGGTCCACTGGTGATCCCCGATTGATCCTAGGGAAGGGTTACAGGCTCGTTGTCCTGGGGGGTTATGGGCGCACTGACCCGCTACTTAACAAGCCCTTTTATCCCAATGGTCTAGTGGTTGGGATTGTGACATACCTTTGTCGACGCGGGAACTCGCTACGTCTGAATCGTGAACGTGGAGGCACGCAGAAGAGCCTACGAAGTCTTCCGCCTCTGGCTAGCGCACGCGCAGCGGAAATCTGGGAAGAAGTTAAAATTTTGGCAATCAGACGGCGCAGCGGAATTTTGCAGCAGGGAGCTGCAGGATTACGTAGCGCATGAAGGAATCGAGCATCACATTTCCCTCCGCTACGCGCACCAGCAGCAAGGTGTAGCTGAGCGCACAAACCGCACACTCATGACAAAGGTGCGAGCTTAATCAAACGAAGCTCCAGGCAACATACTAGACTTACGCGATGCACCACGCCATGCGGGTGCATAACGTGCTTTCAACCACCGCCATCACCGGCAACCTGTCCCCGCATCTGAAGTGGACGAGCACGAAGGGCGACACATCCGTGCTCCGCGTGTGGGGATGCATGGTGCAGTATCGCCCGCCAACGTCAAACATCGGCAAATTTGCTAGCCGCACGCGCTAGGGTATCCGCCTCGGCATCAGCCACGAACACAAGGCGTGGCTCATCCTGTACCTCATCAGCCAAAAGGTCACGAATTTCCGCGATGTCATTTTCTACGAGCGGCTCTTCCTCGAGCAGTTCCGCGAAGACGAGCGAATGAACGCGAATCGCGTCTACGCCAACAACGAGCATAGCTACGCCACACCTGAAGACGAAGCCAACGCAGCCACCCTGGAGCAAGACACCAGGGGCGAATTCACAAGAGGCGATCGCCACAGCAGCGATGACGACGACGAAGACTCCCCTGGAGGAGGAGTCAGCAGAGTAGGAAGAAGCAGCAGACGCGCAGCACCGCCAGCACCACCTGAACCAGAGAGTTACGACGACGACGTTCAGGAAGTAATACCACAACATCACCACGATAGCACCGTCTCAGGAATTCAGCTGCTAGGGCTCCACACCGCCACCTCAACGGCACCATGTGTCATCGAGCCCAAGAACCCACGCCAAGCGCTCACGGGACCATACAGCAAGAAATGGCGCGAGGCAATGGATGCAGAGATCAAGGCGCTTGAGTCCCGCGACACCTGAATGCTCGTCGACCGCGCCGCAATCAGAGAATAGTTCTCTCCGAGAAATGGGTCTTCCGAGTGAAGACCGCAGCAGACGGCACGGTCGAGCGATTTAAGGAGCGTTAGGTCGTGCGCGGTTACGATCGGGGAACGGCATTGACTTTGATCAGACGTTTGCGCCAGTCAGCCATCATACCACCGTCAGGATCCTGCTCGCCATCGTCGTCGCAAGGCACTTGCCGCTGTCAAACATTAATCACATAGCCTGTCTAGGCTGTAGTGGGGTAGGGTACAGTTTCCTAGGGTTTCATATTTGTACCCAACTCATTTCCTAGTCATTCATTCCTGTTTCTTCACATGGTATAGAGCGGGTTCCCTAGCGGGACCGTTCCTTCCTAAGGGCCCACCGTCATTTTTTTTTTTTTTCCTACCTGCCCGAAGCGCGCTTCGCGCTCTGCCCTACCCTCGATCTTCGCGGCCCCCTAGCGGCCTGTCCTGCCCTACGCGCCCCCCTTTGCGGCCCATTAGCGGCCCCCTTCGAGGCCCCGTTGCGACCCCGCCCCGACCCTGCCCCGTCACCCAAAGCCGCCGCGTCGCGGCCCGGCCCGTCGCCCCGTCGCCCGGCGCCCCGTCTCCTCGGCCCAGCCCAGCCCGTCGCCCCGTCGTCCCGGGCCGGCCCTGCCCGTCGCCCCGTCGCCCGGCGCTGCCCTGGCCCTGTCGCGGCCCGGCCTCTGCCCTGCCCCGGCCCTCCCCCGGCCCTGTCGCGGCCCTGTTCCGGACCTGTCGCAGCCCTGCCCCGACCCTGTCGCGGCCCTGTCCCGGACCTGTCGCGGCCCTGCCCCGGCCCTGTTGCGGCCCTGTCGCAGCCCTGTCCCGGCCCTGCCCCGGCCCTGCCCCGGCCCTGCCCCAACCCTGCCCCGGCACTGCCCCGGCCCTGCCCCGGACCTGTCGCAACCCTGCCCCGGCCCTGCCCCGGACCTGTTGCAGCCCTGCCCCGGCCCTCCCCCGGACCTGTCGCAGCCCTGCCCCGGACCTGTTGCGGCCCTGCCCCGGCCCTCCCCCGGCCCCGCCCCTGGTAAGAGCACCGCCGAGCCGCACTGCCGAGCCGCGCCGCGCCGCCGAGCCGCGCTGCCGAGCCGGCCCGCC